AGAGAGAGAGAGAGAAGAGAGAAGAGAGAGAGAGAGAGAGAGAGAGAGAGAGAGAGTTTCCCTCCAGAACCCTGGGTTCATCCACTTTCTGCACGCTAAATGCAACTAGCATTTCTCCAACAGTACTTGCAATTTCTTCTACATTATAAGCCACTCGTTGAGTGGCTTAACAGAGAGAAGCACCTAAAATATCAAGAGACCCTACTGAGATGGAAAAGTCCAACTGTATTGTATATCCTTGTCACAGTGACAGGTTAGAATGTTTGCCTTTATCTCTGTAGCCAACGCAGCTCTAGAAGTAAAATAGAACCCAATAAAATGTTGGTACCAGCTGAAAATCAAGCAGCATTTGTTGCTGTGTATGAAGGATTTTTTTTTCTTCTAATTGAACAGAATTGATGTCCAACTGTGGCACTGCCAGTGAAAGGCTACATCTCTGTGGACATAACAGCACTGGCAGAGGGATTTTTAAATAGTTTCCAAAAGTATAAAATAGGATGATATAAATGTTTGATACCATGTGGGCCAGATCCTCAGCTGGGGTCAATTGGTGAGCTCCGCAGAGGTCAATGGCTTTAGGCCAGCTGAAGCTGCGGTCTGACTGCTCTCACTTTTAAATGGGACTGCTCTTGTTATAAGGGCTGCATGATCATGCTCATAATTTCGCCCCGTTCTGTTCACAGAGGGAAGGCGGGCTGCTATCCGCATAACTGGAAATATAAGTCGATATTCCCAGGGTTCTCAGAAGGACAGGGCAAACCTTTCATTATGAAACCCATGCAGATTTTGCCTGGACTGTGATTTCATTACAAACTCAGACTTTGCTGCATGTTCATGAGAAGCTTGGCAAACCTTTTGTATGAACTAGGGCACCATTGTTAGCAAACCTAGGACTGATTCACAGAGCTATATGTCAACTGCTCACTGACCACCTCATAGCCCAGAGTAGCCTCTTGTGCACACTGAACAAGAGAGGTGGCAAAACAGGACCTTGAAGTATTCCACAAGAATGATCTCTGGAATCTCTCAAGCAAGAAAGAACGGAACCACTAAATCACAGTGCACCTAGAATCTGCAAGTGAATCAATAAAATTTAATGGTCAGGGGTATCAAGGATGCTTGACCAATCAGAAAAAATGAATATGGACATTAGACCTTTGACCACTGGCCACTCCACTCTACAAAAGTGGAGATCGTTAACCAAAAGACCAAAAACAAACCCCAAACAAACTAGCATAACCTCCATAACCAAGTCTAAAGCCAAAATGTGAGTTAACAATTAGAGCTGAAAGAGTGCTATTAGCTGAGAGACAAGTGTGTGAAAGCATTGATTCTCTGGATGACAGGATCCTAGATGACTGTGCGGGGGTGACCAGCACCTTGTTAAAATATCCTCTTAAAACATATATTCACTTTTTATTTTGGGCATTAGTAGAAAAATAGTGAGCTGCAAAAAGACAACTGGAAATAGAAACACTCCTAAATCCTTAAACAGGGTGAGTGGGTGCAGAGATTTCAGAATTTCTGTAGAAAAGAAAAGAAAAGAAAAGAAAAGAAAAGAAAAGAAAAGAAAAGAAAAGAAAAGAAAAAAGGAATTAGGGTCCTGTTTTTAAACCTAAGCGCTGAACAGGTCTTTAGGTGGCTAAATATAGATTTATGTGCCTTCAGGCCTCCACATTTGAAAATTGGGTCCTTATCCTGTCACTAACAAGTAAGTAGGTAGAGTTGGAATATTTCCAGGGGCAATCCAGAGATGTAGGTTTGGTCTGTGCAGCCACCAAATATATGGCACAGCACCTGAGACTGAAGCAAGGAAAGGGAGGAATCGGAGGTTCTGAGTAGTTCTAACAATAAAGAAATAGCCTACGGAGCATTTGGGCTGGGAGAAAAGGGATTGATTCTGTGAGGGTTGGCAGCCAGATGATCAGATGAGTGGCAGTGGTGGGGTGCTAGCATTGGACAAAAGACCTTTGCTCAGTGGATCCAAACCCATCTCTCAGCACAAGAGTGGATTCAGAGTATGAGATGGAAGCGATGGCCCAGCTGGGAGCAGTGGGATCCAGAAGGGTCGCTCCACAATGAACTCACATAATGACTGTGTGGTCATGGGGTCCAAAGTCAACTGGACTGACTTGAAACTTAGGCTTACTTTTATGAAACAAATTCCTTGAATGAAAACATATACACGTTGTGAATCTATAATGCAAAGCGAAACCTCTACTCCAGATGACTACCAGCTAATGGGAACAAAGTTATTTTAAGAAAGGTGACCAGTACCAAGGAACTTGAGGTACCACTACTCCAATTGCTAAAATTAGTAAAACATGGTACAATATGGGATCTAAGTGTCTGCTACCTGTGGCCGGCTCAGATGAAGTGTCCTTGGCTGTGTTCAGAACAGAGTCTGGTTCTATAGACCCAGTGATGAGCTGAAGTTAAGCCACTTGGTCCTTGACTCCTTCAGCCACCTGAAGTAAACCGAGCTTTGTGATGCGCTCAGTGTGAGATCCATGTTTATTTATGAACATACCCGTTAAAATAATGTAAACTAGGAACTAGGACACAGGCCTCCTGCCTTCTAGCCAGCTGAGGCTCACAGGATGGCTTGAGTCAGTGATCGTGTAATCCTAGCAGGCAAAGCACACAATCCATTCATTTTTAATCAAGTTATTTGCACAAGTAAACTGTCATAACTAAGTAATACAAAGCAGTAAAGAAAAGTGCTGAGAGACAGGACAATGCTGAGCATAACCTTATATTTCCAAGTCCTCCTTCATCTACACTGTTCTGTCTTTGTCTTGTCTTGTCTGTCAAGCCGGAAGAGCTTTGGTGCGGAGACAGTGTCTCACTATGGGCTCAGTCCTGAACAACTCTGAGCACTACTGTGATTCCTAATGTCAGTGGGAGCTGGAGGCTCTGGGCGCCACTCAGAAACGCTCAGCTTTGGAAAGCCCCACAGGCATTTGCAGTGCTACATGCATGAGTTTAATAATAGTAACAAATAAATGATTAGCAATAATAATATTGGCTAATGGCACACACGTTCAAGTTTTAGACGCGGAGATCCAAATTCCGTGCTTGTGCAAACTGATGAAACTTAATCAATCACCAGCCGAGAATTTGGCCATAAGACAGTCTAAGCGGTTTGACTTCTTCTCTCATATAAGGATTTTTAGGCATATTTTTATTACGTTTCCTACATTGAAGAGTTCATGCATTGGAATGTCCTGGAGTTCAACCCAATACACTCACGTTCACTAAACCATACCTGTGCAAATCATACAGTCGTATGTGCATTTGCAACCAGAACACTTGGAAGTTGCAAACTGCATGTACCTTTCTGAGGGCACTTAGGTCTCTGAATCTGAAATGTAGCCCAAATTGTTAAGTGAGGTTTGGAGGCTGTTTTGCAATAATCACATGCATTATAGAAAAAGGTCAAAAATTATAAATTAACATGCAGGGAAGTGCTAACACATTTTAAAAATATCAGTGGGATATGTTATCTAGATTGCAGTACCATAGATCCTTATCTAAATCTGTTAAGTAGGAAGGATTCATATCTTTTCCTCGGCTCACATGCTCTACCTTGCTAGGTTGCCTGAAGGTGAAAAAAATAAGAGTCACTAAAAGAAAATGATATGGTGCATTTTCCCATTTATCAGTTATTTTTCCATCTCCTTTTTTATGTACACTTTTTTTTGGTATGAATTATCTCCATGTTCCCTGTAACCCACTTTAATATTATCCATTGCCTCTTCTGGCATCTACTGTTAAGGGTAGTAGACTTGATGGACTCAGCTTGGCCAGAAAGCAGCTCAAAGCTTCAGCAGATGATTTTGCTTTACGCATTTAGGCCAGGGGAGGATTTATTAATCATTTTTTGTCTTTTCCAGGAGCAAATGCTGCACTTGTCCTCTAACCAGACAGTACAACACTGATACGGAGATATATTAGAGCTTTTATTTTCTATAGAGGTATGATACCTGTGTTTTATTTTCCTGTCTTTTGTTTAGAAGTAAATTCCTTTTCAATCTGATTTATCGGTGGAGCTGTACGAGGGCTGAATGAGTTTCACCTTGTGATTTCTGACAAAAGCCTGGAGAAACTCAATGGCCAGGGCTCACTCTGAACTCTTCCAGAAACAATGAAACTGGGTCACTGAGGACGTACAGTGGCACTTGTGGGCATGAGAAGAATAATGACACTTCGCACTTTAATTCTGAACTACCTTGAGGCCACAGTTTCCATACTAATAAGCGCTTCTTCTTTATTTACAAAAATGCAACATTACACCTGGATATTTATCTAGGTCCCCATCCAGCAAAACACGGAAGCACATGCATAACTTTAAGCACGTGTGCTGTCCCCTTTATTAAAATAATTTCAGTTGGCTTAAAGTTATGCTTGTGCTTAAGTGCTCTGCTGGACTGGAGCTATAGTGATGGGCTCTTTAGAAATACATACACAGGTAGAACTAGATTTATTTTAGTAACTGTTGATCCAGTTGCCTCATTTATATTCCCTTTATTTATATGAACAATATTTTATCCGAGCATCTGAATATAGAATGTGAAACTTCATTTGCTATATGTGCTGGTGTGATCTAAGTCTGATTAAATTGGTACTGAAAATACAGTCATGATAAATAAATCAGCACTGGGACCAAACAATTCTTTCTCCTACTTCAGTGAATTAAGTGGGATTTGTTATCCGAGTGCAAATGTACTAGTCTGTGTAATTGGAGAATCAAGTGGGTATAAACAAAGTCCCTTTTCTTCTATCGCAAAAACATAGAGATACTGACCTTGTAATGCAGAGGACTACAACACAGATGATAGCAATCTGGATGGTTCCAATCACAGCTGCTATTAAGACATACTGAAATCGTACTGGCCCTGGAACCACATATAAAACGCTGTAGTCCTTTTTTTCACAGTGTTGTCCAGTGTAGCCTGCATCACACCTGCAATGAAAGATTTTTATCCTGTTACTTAGACATCCTGCATCCCTTTTAGCAGAGGGACAGACTATGCCCCTGATTAGAACTTGAGAGGAAGGCTCTGTGTGTGAAAGTACTGCTTGGCAGACACTGTGTGGGATTTTTTTTTGTTTTGTTTTTTTTAAAAAGGGATGTAGATTATACTTCCAGGTTACGCAAGGACTGCTTTTATCTCACAAACATTAAGTGGCTAGGATAATGAGATACATAGATACTTGGATGTCTTAAATGTGGTGACTATTTGGATCGGGGGAGCACCTAGAGACCCCACCCTAGATCGGGACCCTATTGTGCTAAGCACACACACAGTAAAGGACAGTCCCTGCTCCAAAGAGCTTCCAGGCTACAAGATAGACAAAGGGTAGGAGAAATAAATGACAGTCCTGAAAAGCTGAGGGCTGTGCAGGGATACTTGCTTTTTCCTTGGATTCACAGGTAAGCCATGCATTGGTTTAATTAACATTTTTCATCAACCTACGCCGACATGTTTGTCTGGGAAAAGATTTGGTTTTGATGACACTGGGTTGCCTCTAGGATAGTTTCTTTTACTCTTTGGCTATTGTTTTTCCCATACTTCCCATACATGGCAAAATCCTACACACCCCACAGTGCCCGAATGTTTGGACCATGCACCAGGCCCGTTCGTCAGGAGCCGGGGGAGGGGAAAACAGGCACCCGCTGCACTACCAAGTTCGTGCTTTACAACTGCTATTGTCACCTTGGCCCCAAGGCCGCAGCAGTCTCCTTGGCTCCTAGATCTCTTCTCCACAGAGGGAATAGCCAATAGATTCATAGTGTTTATGGACACAAGGGACCGACCATTAGGCTATCTAGTCTGACCTCCTGTATATCACAGGCCATTACACTTCACCCTGTTACCCCTGGGCTGAGCCCAATAACTTGTGTTTGGCTAAAGCATATCTTCCAGAAAGGCCTCCAGTCTGGATCTGAAGACCACGAGAGATGGAGAATCTGCCACTTCCCTTGGTAGCTCATTCCAATGCTAATCACCCGCACTACTAACAATGTGTGTCGTATGTCCAAGCTGCATTTATCTGGTTTCAGATCTAAATACTGGCCTTTGTGCTACCCCAATCTTGGCACTGCTCTGCACCAGGTGGTCCCCAGGCACAGGTCAGAGCTTCCTGAATGCAGCTGTCACCTGCACTAGCTGCTGATGCTGCCAAGGAGCTGTGGGGCAGCCGGGGATCACTGGGACTCAGGGAAGCCTCAACTAGGGTGACCAGACAGCAAGTGTGAAAAATCGGGATGGGGTGGGGGGTAATAGGAGCATATATAAGAAAAAGACCCAAAAATTAGGACTGTCCCTATAAAATTGGGACATCTGGGCACCCTAGCCACAACCATGCTCTTTCTTACAGCAACACTCCCCTATGGCAATAAGAGAGGTGGGAGGAGCAATTCTGGTGGCTCTTGTCCTAGGACATCCCTATGCAGGCAAGATCCTTGGGGGTCAGGCCTGCTGGGTCTAGGTCTTCTTTGTACCATAGCAATGCAAAGTGGTCACAGCGTGGCACAGGATTCAGGCCAGAATGTTTTACTTGCTAATGTGCAACAAAGTCTTAGGGATAAACTTGTCACCGGGGGCTATAGGGCCAAATCCTGACAGCTGTGGTGTGCCTCTTGACTGGGCCCAAGTGCCCTCAACTCTCATTGACCTCAGTGGGAGGAGATGGTGCTGAGACCCTTCCTGGAGATCCCCAAATCCTCTATGATGCTAGAACTCCCTGTGCTTTGGGATGAGAATGCCAAAAATAACCCACGTTTGATACTTTTCCCTTGCTGGGGTACAGGCCATCTGGTGCTGGACTTAGACACAGATTACCCACTGAAGGCCCTGCAAATGAACAAATAATTTACCTATTTGTCCAATTGCCACTAAAATCCCTGTTTATTCTGCCCACTGCCACACAAAGTCTGCTTCTCTCCTCGCTGTTTCCCCGTCCTGCTACCTTCTTCCCTGTCTGATTTCTCACAAAGGGGAGTTTAGTTGTTCCCCTGGGCCGGCTCCGGTGCTGCTGGCAGTGGAACGGGAGGCATCACAAGGGAAACCTTTCAGGTCAATGGCACTAGCAGCTCTAAGAGACTTGGAGAGTTTGCCTGGACCTTGTCCTAGAGATGGTGGTGGTGGTCACTGAGCTTTGTGCTCCAGGCTAGAGTAAGGGGAGACATGCAACAGCCTCTACATGCCCCCACCTCTAACCCTTGTAACCAGGAGAGGATAATGTGTGGCTGCGTGGAAGAATGGAGGAGCTGGGGC